TTTGTATGTGGGATGCCGCCACAGCATGGCTTAATGAGCAGTGCATAGGTCTGCACCCAGGCTGCCAAAGCAGAGTGCACAAACTTAGCCACTCTGCCACCAGGCTGGCCTCCTAATGATAAGTTTTACAATGAGAGCTTGTATTTTACATATCTTTCGTACTTTTAAATTTCCTTTTTCCATAGTACGTTTTTTATTTTACAAAAGTATTGATCTGTGATGGGCTAGAAATTAAAACAAAATAAAACAAAACAAGAAGACCTCACTGGTTCTTTACAACAGATAATTCAAGAAACACTGCTTTAAATATCCTAAAATCACAGCTCCCCTACATACTTCCTATCCTATTTCTTTGCCTTATTATTATTATTTTTTTTTTGGTGAGGAAGATTGCCCCTGAGCTAATATCTGTGCCAATATTCCTCTATTTTTTTGTATGTGAGATGCCGCTACTGCGTGGCTTGACATGTGGTATGTAGATCTGCACCTGGGATCCAAACCCGTGAAGCGCGGGCCACTGAAGTGGAGTGTGTGAACCTAACCACTACGCCACCAGACCAGCCCTTCTTTGCCTTATTTTTTAAATCTTAACACCTATGGCTATATAACAAACTATATACTTAACACTCATATCTTGTTTATTGTCCATCTTCCCCATGAGAATGCAAGCTCCAAGAGGATAGCATTTGGGTCTATGTGCTCAGCACAGAGCAGGAGATGTTTGCTGGATCAATAAATGAATGCACCTCATATCATGGTCAATCCAATCAAACAACCCAAAACAATAATGACAAAGCTAAATGAAGAACGACTTTAATTTAAAGAAAATTGTGTGGATTCCTGCTGTCTGCTTGAGCAACATATAGTCCATGGTTGCCCCACAGCCAGACTTCTTAGTAGAATTCTGAAGGACCATCTAGCAAAGCCTGATAATGATCTAACTTTTGTTTTTGATAACCAGATTTTAATAACCCTTAAAAATTCATGGGACGGATGTGATGGTTAGTCTTACGTGTCCACTTGGCTGGGCTATAGTACTCAGTTATTTAATCAAACACTTATCCAGGTGTTGTTGTGAAGTTCTTCTATTGATATGGTTAACATCTATAATCAGTTGAATTTTACCAAAGAGATTATCCTCAGTAATGTAAACCAATTTCTTCAAATCAATCTTTCTCTCTCTGCCCATACATATATCCTATTGGTTGTTTCTCTGGAGAGCCCTTACTAACAGATAATACACAAGTAGGTAACAAATATGTATAATAAATAATAGGATAAGTAGCTTTAACCTAGGTTAAAAAAGAAGTCTTTGCAATTGCACATCTCCCATAAGAATGGAATGAAAGTACTGTGGGGGGGGGGGGGGTGGCAAAATGGGTGAAGGGGGTCAAAAGTTACAAACTTACAGTTATAAAATAAATAAGTCCTGGGGATGTAATGTACAGCATGGTGACTATAGTTAATAAAACTATATTGCATATTTGAAAGTTGCTAAGAGAGTAGATCTTAAAAGTTCTTATCACAAGAAAAAAACTTTTGTAACTAGGTGTGGTGACAGATGTAAACTAAACTTTTTGTGATGATCACTTCACAATATATACAAATATAAAAATCATTATGTTGTATACCTGAAGCTAACATAATATGTCAATTATACCTCAAAAAAATTTTTTTAATAAAATAGACTAAAATTCAAAAAAAAAAAGAATGAAAGCACTAGTGTATATTTCTGAGTCAGTTTAAAACGCATCAGGAAACTCTCAGACTCTACTTAGAGAACCACTAATTTGGTGCAGGCTTTCCTGCCCATACTTGACCACAAATGAAATGTTTTAATCCATTTACCTGAAAGCATTTCAGAATTATTCTCAAGTTTCACTTAAAAAATTAGGCAAACTCTGGGAGTTAGAACAACTTAATCCAACTCAGTTCAACGGAGATGCGGCTTTTTGTACCTTCTAACATGTATGCTCCAGTTTGTACTTAGGCCCATTCACAACCTCTTAATCCTTTTAGATAACTCCCTTAGCTCTGACCTCTTTCCCCAAACCCACTCTCCCAGTGTCTCTGGGATATTTCCATTCCCTATCAGACTACTGTACATTCAACAGGCCCAAACATGAGTTCATTAACTTCCTCCTGAGCTAAACTCCGCCCCTCTTTATCTCTGTCACCTGTTTGGGAGTTGTCTTTGATTTCTTTCTTCCCCTATATCTACCATATCCAATCAGAAAGCAAATTTCTTTGCACATGTCTTCTAAATGTAAATCAGACTCTCTTTCAGTTTCATTTATACAGCTTCAACTTATCTTCTCCCTCCTTCCTAGCTCGCTGATGACAGAAGAGAAGGCAGAGGCAGCAAGTCTTTCCCCAAATCTATTTTGACAACTGATACAGCGATATGAATAAAAGTCAATGTGAAATGACAGAACATTAAAATGGAACTTCTTAAAGTCCACCAAAGGAAAAAGAACTAAGCTAAAAGTAAGGCTATCTAGCACACCTTGGAAATGTGATAGATCTATCTTTGGTGGCTCAGTTTTATTCCAAAGAAAATACAGAGATAAGAAATAATCCAATTCATGGGTTTTTGCTTTGTAGAATGACTTTGAAGGAGACAGAAATTATGTTTTAAGCCTTTATTATGGGCTACTTTTACATTTCAAATACTCATAAAAATTCCATTACTCACACTATTTAAAAATGAAGAAACTGAGATTCAAAGACATTAAGCAATGTGATGGTCACACAGCTGGTTGAAGGCAGTTGAATTTCAAATCCTGCTCTCTATCATGCCCACTGTTTCTACTGCAACACTGCAATTTACTAAATGCTTTATACCTATTCCTTCTTCAAGGTATTGTTGCCATTCTTATACTTGCTTGATTTGAAATAGGTTTATAAACAGAAAGCATAAAAAACCTAGTTCAACAAGTTTGGAAATTAGCTTCAATGTGAGATAATATAGAGGGGTTTCATTCGCCTTTCTTCATTTTCCAATTTAAGTTCCATGGAAGAAAGTAATTCATTTAGGAAGTACAAATGGTGTTTACAGCGCTCACCATCTCCAGTGCAGAAGGGACTCTAGTTAACATTTATAAAGCGGAAGGGGCCCAAGTAAATTTGCCAAAAGGAGGAATATGGAAACTCTGTGCGAGGCCAGAACAATGGACATAGATTTGTCAAAACAAAGAACAGTAAAGTGAGGGAAGGCAATTCATCCAGCCCTTGCTGTGCTACTTTACGACTATTTTTCCAGTTGCTGGTTTCCTATTTACTCTAACAAAGAGAACATTTTGCAAATTTATATTACCCTTTAGCAGAAGCAAAAACACTGCAAACTGTAAATTATAGCATTCAAAATACAAAGCGGGGAACACAATCTCCAATCAGATACCAATTTCCAACAGCAAAGCTGCCTAATTCAGTTCTACAAAAGGAATCTTCAACTTGATGCCCATTGTGCATCTTTGGTGCCACTTTAAAGTGTTAATGTTAACACAGAGGTTATCACTGCCCTGAACTAGTCGATATGCTTTATACTGTTACACAACAATATCAGGGCTTCCATATGTCAATGAGCTACATCTGGACAGCTGGGAAAAAAGATCGTAGGTAAATGAGCCCTGAGTTTAAAGTAGGAAGCTGAAACAGCAGGCCCTGAAAATACAGCCACAAAATAACGCCCAGGCACTCTTTATTTAAACATTGTGCGGGCTGCAGATTTTTCTCCCTGGCTCACGGCCGGGCTTCTCAGTGGTGAAAAATGCTTCTCAGGCACTAAACTATAGGTGTCAAGGACCACCTAAGTCCTTTTGAAAACATTCTGTGCACTTGCACTTACAATATGGTACTTCTTTTTTCCAAGGAAGCCACAAGCACTTACTAGCCATTGTGGTATTGCCCTGGCTCTTCAGCAAATTTGCTAGTCGGCCGTCCAAAGACATTAAGTGGGCTTCCGCTCTTGCTCTATGCAACCCCGCCCCTACACACACACACATACACACACTCAGTCACACACCCGTGCATTCACGAAAAGAAAGCTTCTAAGTAAACAGAGAACACAATTTCACAGATCCTACTCCCACTACTGTACTAGTTACTCAAGCACACATTGAGGACGTGCCAATTTTATATAGAGATTCTGTTTTTCAACTTTTCTTTGAAACTACCCTAACAGCGAATTTTAAACAGTTCGCGGTTTTTAAGACAGTTATTTTTATTTCTACTTTCCAGCCATTTGGGGAGGCGGAGCGTAAGGCAGGTAGTCTGCAACCTCCTGCCCCTTCGTGGCTGGGTTTTAAACGGCTACATTCACGGGCTTGCTGCCAACGTTCAAGCCCCAGACTCCACCCTGACAGGTTGTTAAACTCTAACGACTGACACAAAGTCACTTAGACGTTCCAGTTTGACAATCTTTGAGGGATCTGCGTGTCTGTACTGAGAAAGGGAGATGGGGGTGGAAAGACAGTTTGCACAGTTCCTTGTTTGCTCAAGAGACGAGCCTCAGTGAGCGTTCTGGAACACGTGCACACAGCCAGGAAAACAAAACCGACCCGGGGGTGAGAGGGTGGGGGGTAAGCACCGCTCGATTAACCGAGTTCAGCGGGATAACTGCTTTGCTGGGGCCCGCTGCTTTGCGCCTAGGCGGCTGCGAGTTCTCCTGCAAAGCCCACCCTCCCCAGCCCTGGCTCCCTGTGGGTCCCGCCCCTGGGATGCCCATTCAGGGGCTCCACACCTGGACTTCGGAAGGAGGCAGTTCTAGTGGGACTGCAGGGCCCGCTCGTTGCCGTTTTCTCCTCCTGAAATCCTGTGTCACCTTCCAACTGGGCATTTTTCCCGTGGCCCGCATTCGACGGGTCCAGGTTTCTCCCTGCAGCAGTTTCTCCCAAGTGCTGCCTTCTGAAACCGCCCTCCCCTGCCCATGCCTTCAGCTCCCCCAACACACCGCCCTCCCCAGCGGGTGGGCACGCAAATCGAGCTCCCCTAGCACTTACACGTGGCCACAGCGGGTCCGGACAGGCTGGTGCAACACCTCGAGGCACACAGAGCAGTCAAAGGACGTGACGGGCAGCTCAGGGTCCCTTCTGCGCTCCAGGGCCCGCGGGGTGGCCGAGGCGGGCGCGGATTTGCCGCTATCGCTGCTCAGCACGGAGCCCATCGCGGCGCCTCTCGCCCAGCCAGCTGCCAAGAGCTCCGCGCCTGCTGCCGGGTTGTTTTGTTGTCCTACGAGGGAGGAAGGAAGTCCCGGCCCAGCTGCGATCGCCGCCTCCCTGCGCGCCCCGCTAGCGCAGCCTGGAAGCAGCCTCGGCCGCGGCGCCCAACCTCGCTCTAGGGCAGGCGGAGCGCGCGGCCGCGCGTCTGAAATTGTCTCTCGCTTGGTGCCTTGCCGGAGGCGCGGAGACGGAGGCGGCGACCGCGCGGTGCGCGCCGTAGCGTCTCGTGGTCCTGCGAGGATTGAAACCTGAAACCTCAACTGCAGAGCAGAGGACCTGGGCCGCCAGTGAAGCTTCTAGGTTATCGCACATCCTTCTTCCCCACTGTGGCAAGTTAAGGAAAGTGCGGGCCTGGTCGTCTTTATGAGAATCCGAGATCACTTACTTGTAAGGGGATGGTCCTGTCGGTCCCGCGTTGTTGTAATCATAACAAACTACAGAGATGATCTATGATTGAGCGTCCCTTAATCACTACTTCGGCCATCTAATCCATACTCCAGGAATGGAGAGGTAGCATGGGGGAGTGCAGAGAGTTCTGGAGGTCTGGATTCTGATCCTAGCTCTAGGACAGGGATTCTAATGCTAGATTCTATGACCCCTAGTTTCCTCGGGTCAGGATCTCTTGATTTTGTTTGTAAAATCCCCCATCCTCTTTTTAAACCGGACTAAATATGTCACTTATTAATTCACGCATTTGATAAGACTTATTTAGTGCCCACTGCATGCCAGACTGTGTTCTGGTGATGGGGTCACAATTCCTAACAAGCAAGCGAAATCCCGGTTCTCACAGAACTTACTTAAAAAAAAAAAACATCTATTTTGAGATAACTATAGATTCATAGGCTTATTATTGAGAAATAATACACACATTCAATATGTACATACAATAACATGTAATACAATAACTCATCATAATCCCATAAACTTCACCTGGTTTCCCCCAGACTTTACTTTTAATAAGAAGATATAAGTAATTATCAAAGAAATAAATGAACAAGATCATTTCAGATGGTAAGAGCCCTGAACAAGATAAAACAGGAGTGAGGATAAGGGAGAAGGATAAGATCAGAGAAGACTTTTTGGATGAGGTGACATTTGAGCAGTCATGAACAAGGAAAAGGAGTCAGCCATTCAGTGATTTAGGAAAAAGCTTGCTAGGCACTGGGACTGGTGGGTGAGGCAGGAACAAAGAACAGAAAGAAGCCCTGTGGAGCTGGAGCACAGGAGAGGAGTAGGGTAGATGGGATGAGAGGAGGTTGGAGAGGGGCCTGATCATATCCAATCTTACAGGCCAGGACTAAGAGTTTGGATTTATTCCAGGTGCCATGATTTGATTTACTCTGACTGCTGTGTGGTTTCAAAAAGACAGGAACAAGATAAAAATGGTAGCAGAGAAACTGGTTAGGGGGCTACCAAACTAGTCCAAGTGAGGATGATAATGGTTCGAACCAGGAAGATATCAGGGTAGGAAGGTGAGAGGTGGACAGGTTTGGAATATATTTGGGCGAAAAACCTGAAAGGGCTTGCTAATGAGTTGGATATAGGAGTGAAGAAAAGACAGCCATTCCCATCTTTAAAAGAAAAACAAAAACCTTCCTTGGATCCCACATGTCCCTCAGCTCCTGCCCTGTGTCCTCTTGAAGGCCAAATTTCTTGACTTGATTCTCTACCTTTCATGTCTCCATTTCTTAATTATCCTCTCTTTATCAAGACCAACCTGGGTTCTGAATCAACCACTCCACCTCCATCTGTCCCAAAACTGCTTCATCACCAGTGGCCTTTGTGTGGCTAAATCCAATCAACTCTCTTTAGTTCTGTTAATGCGTGACATCTCAACTATATCTGTCAGTGTTGACCGCTCCCTCCTTGTAGAAACTCGCCTTGGCTTTCCTTCTTTCTTTCTGCCTGTTCTTAGTCTCCTTCGCTGGACTTTCCTTCTCCTGGAAAAGCTAAGTGCTGGAGATCCTAGGATTCCGTCTTAATATCTTTTCCCTTCTCATTCCTCCCTCCCTCCTTAAGAATCTCAAAAATCGTGTAGATTCTGTTACCATCAAGATTCCAAAGACTTTCCAGTCTTTATCTCTACTCTAGGTTACTCAAGTGCTCAAGTGCTGTCCTGACATAACCACCTGGTTGCTTCAGGCACCTTCAGCTCAACCTGTGCAACAATGAACTCATTACCATAACCTCCCACCAGTTCCACCTGCAGCTGTTTATCCGTCTCTTGGTCAATGGCACTACAATCTACCTGGTAGCTCAGTCCAGACACCTGGGAACCATCCTGATGTCTTTCTCTTCCTCATTCACATTGAAGCAATCACAGTCACGGTGACAATTCTGCCTCCAGTGGATCTCTCAGTAGTTCTTGAATTGTTTCCTTTTTTCTATTCCCATAGCCAGCTACAACTCACTTTAAATCGTTGCGTCCTTTCTTGTCACCTGTTGCAATAGTTCCCATCTACTCCACCTGCATCTGCTATTGCCACTGTCCAATCTATTCTCCACATTGCAACTAAAGAGACCTTTTGAAAGGCAAATATCTTATGTCATCTCATGCTCAGAACACTTTAATGGCTCTCTATGACCCTTAGGATTAGATTCCAAATCCTTAACATGATCCACAAAGCCCTGGATGATTTTATTCCTTCAATAACTATAATCAGTTAAGATACCTTTGGCGACAGGGAATAGAAATTCAACTGAAAGTGCCTTTATCAATAGGGACATTTATTATCTAATATGGTAAATTAGTCCAGAGGTAAGAGGTTACAGAGTTGGCTCAGCAGTTCAATAATGTCCTCAAGGTCTCAGCCCCTTGCTATCCCCGATGTGTCAGAAATGTCTTGCTGATGGCAGAAAGATGGCAGGAACTACTCCAATAATTACTTCTACACACAACAATCTCCAAAAACAGAAAGGAAAGGTAGGGTTTCCTCCTTCTAGCTCTCTGTCCTTTTAAATGGTAGGGAAATATTTCCTAAAGGCCTTCTTCTGAAGACTTCCTCTTACATCTTATTGGTCCAAATTGGACCCCATGACCATTCTTAAACTGGTCACCAGCAAAAGGCAATGAGAGTACTCTGATTGGCTTATATTCCTAATTTATCCCATAGGGGTTGGCACTTCAGTTATCTGGCAATACAGTTAGGGGTTCTTTTACCAAGAAGGAAGGAGATAAGGTGATTGGATAAACCAACAATAGGGTCTCCCAAAACAACTATTTTTGGCCTATCTGCTTTCACTCTCTTATTCTGCATGGTCCTAAATTTTTCTACATCTTTCAGTTCCCTGAGTGTACTAAGTTCTTTCTAACCTCAGAGCCTTTACATATGCTTTTTTTGCTCTGTCTGAATACTTCCTGCCAATACCCACCACTCTCAACTTCTTCCAACTCAAATTCCAGGTTTTAATTTGAAGACCACATCCAGCTCATATTATCTTCTTGATTCTCTCATAGCCTGCTGTATTTGCCTTCCTATTTATTCTGCTTGTGGCTGCTCTAAGAGTTAGAGATAAAAGATGTAAAGTACCTGGCATGCAGGTGGTGGTACATATATTTATCCTTATATATGTAAGAATACTTAAATATCAATTCCATACTAATCTCACAAGGTGGATATTATTGTTCTCATTTTATTTATTTATTTATTTTTTTTTTTGCTGAGGAAGATTCACCCTGAGCTAACATCTGTTGCCAATCTTCCTCTTTTTGCATGTGAGCTGCTGCCACAGTGTGGCCACTGACAGACGAGTGGTATAGGTCTGCACCTGGGAACCAAACCTGGGCTGCTGAAGTGGAGTGTGCCAAACCTAACCACTTGGCCACTGAGGCTGGCCCTTATTGTTACCGTTTTATAGGCTCAGAGCAAAGGTCATATAGCAAATAAGTGGCAGAACCATGTTTTCATTCTGGATCTTTTATTTTAAAATCCATGTGCTTTTCACTAAGGCACTTGTGTAGAGATGAGAAGCACTAAGAATCTTAGAAAAGAATAAGACAAAATTAAATAAAATAAGGCAGGAAAATGGGACCTGGGAGGATAGATGAAAATAAGCATCTGATATTATTTATAAGGCTCATTTAATGAACTTATAAAGATGACGACGATGATGATGATGGTAGTATCAGAGAATAAATTTATAATCCAGACTCTAGGCCCTAAAGTGCATCAAAACTATGGATTAGTATAAAGAAAATTTGAGAGCCATATAATCAACATCTCAGTATCAAGAAGGCTAATGGTTCTCTCAGTAAACCAAAAGGAGAGCACTACTGCCAGAAAAAAATATTTTACTTATTTAATTCCTTGTAGAGGCAATGAAAAGAAATGAATTTATAATTTCAAGTAGTGTTGAAGGTGTGAGAAAGACATCCTTATATTCTTTGAAATTTATTTTTCAAACAAAACACTTAGTGGAAACTTAAATGTCCATAATAAGGAGATGTATTTAAAGTATAGTAAATGTACTTAACAAATGATAGAGCAACATTAAAAAATGTCCAGCTCACCATTTTATGCCCATTTTCAGTATTTCATTTAAAAAATGCACGTAGGTGAAATGACATGCATATTTATTATAGTATTGTTTGTAATAGCAAAATATTAGAAATGTTTTAAATATCCACCAATAAAAGACTGATTAAATACATTATGGTACATCTTTACAAGGGAATACTATGCAGTCATTAAAAAGAAAGGTGGGGCCAGCCCTGTGGCTGAGTGGTTAAGTTCGCGCATTCTGCTGTGGCGGCCCCAGGTTTTGCTGGTTCGGATCCCAGGCATGGACATGGCGCCACTCGTCAGGCCACGCTGAGGTGGTGTCCCATGTGCCACACCTAGAAGGACCCACAACTATAATATACAACTATGTACTGGGGAGATTTGGGGAGAAAAAGCAGCAAGAAAAAAAAAGATTGGCAACACTTGTTAGCTCAGGTGCCAATATTTAAAAAAAGAAAGGCAACTCTATAACTATCCTCAGAGAAAGCTCTCCAACATATGTTACTAATTGGAAAGAGCTCTAGGAGCACAACTGTATATATTGTATACTATCATTCATATTTTTAAAACGCCTGTATGCGTGCATACATACATACATATATGTACATATGTATATATACAAATTTGTATGTACTGGTACATATGCATATTAATATCCTTG